CGGAAGGAGGGTGAGGCTTGATGCAGAGAGACCAATTAGGAGGAAATTAGAGTAATCTTCATGGAAACCGATGAAGGACTTAGTCTTGTGTTGGTAGCTGTGTGAACAGAGAAGAGGGATTGGATATGAGAGATGTAGAGGTGGAAACAGCAAGATTTGGCAACCGATTTGATATGTGGAGTGACAGAGTGAGGAGGTGAGGGTAACACTGGGGTTATGAACTTGGAAAACTAGAAGATTAGGGGTACTAGCAACAGAAAGAGGGAAGTTCGGAAGATGGATGGCTTTGAGGAATGAATTATGTTTTGGACATCTTGAGTTTGAGACGTCTCCAGCATATGCAGTTTGAAATGTCTAATAAGTTACTGGTGATACAGGATTGAAAGTCAAGGGAAAGATTGAGGGCAGGCATATAGAACTCCTTATCTTTATAGAAATGATCATTAAATCTGTGGGAGCTGTTGAAGTCACCAAGGTAGCAAAGAAAAGAAAAAGAGAATCCACTGTGTGGTTTGGAGCCTCACTCCTATTGTGGGGATTAGATATATTCCTAGGACCCCGCACTGAAATGTTATTTATTTATTTATACACACATGCATATGCACATATATACTTATACATACACACACATACACACACACACACACACACACACACACACACGTGCACACTCTTTTTATTAGGAAGCTAGGTGGTACAGTGGCTAGAGTACTGAACCTATAGTCAGGAAAACTTGAATTCAAATCCAGTATGATTAACTAGCTGTGTGACTCCTATCAAGTCATTTTACTTCTGACTGCCTCAGTTTTTCCCATTTGTTAAATAGGGATAATAATAGCAACTACTTTCTAGGTGGTTGTAAGGATAAAATGAGATAATATTCGTCATGTACTTTGCAAAGCTTAAAAGTGCTATATAATTGTTAGCTATTATTAATGTTGTTGTTATTATTATTATTATTATTATTATTGTTGTTGTTGTTATTATGACTATGGTTTGCCCAGTAGGATAGATGATTAGTCTTAAAGAATTATTTTTCATGATCAGAAAATTATCTTCAGACTTAAAATTCTACTTTTCATTGAAATATGACTAACTTTTCTGTGGCTGTATGAACATTTACAGTACTTCTGTCAGGCACATAAGCAATTTTTTTACTATATTGAACTTGTTTAGTATATTGAATTTGTTATTTGGGAACAGCATGTTAATTAGCTTATTATTAGTCAGGGATAACAGAAAGATTAGAGTCAGAATAATTGACCTTGAAAATGCAAATGAATGGCTCATAATCACCTTTTGTTATTATTTGGGTTGATTTTATCTTTAATTGGCAACGCATATTTTTTTATTAAAATTTAGAAGAGTGAACCTTGGCCTCCTATTTCCCTCATTATCTTCAGAATATTAAATAAAATACTGGAATTTTGGGAGTGCTCTTGGGAAGGAAAAATGTGGGATTTCTTCTTGTCCTTCTCTGACAGATTTTGGCCTCACAAACCTTATTTCAAACAAACAAATAAAAATTCTGTCAATAGTATATGTAGTTACTCTTGGAATCTATGGGCTTATTCGTAGTAGCAGCAACACATATGAATAGCTCTGGAAATTGTATCTGAGCAGAATATTTGAGAAGACATTTATGTCAGATAGAGAAATGTCAGAGAGCAGAATGGGAAAAAGCTGTCTTAAGTTTTTGTTTGAGGTTTTCAGACTTGGGGATCTTTGCAACTCTAGTTTCATTGGCCTTCTGCCTTTTCCACCTCCTCAGTAGTGTGAATTTTGTTGTTGTTGTTTGTTTTTTTTAGGTTTGTTCACCTAAACTAAGTTCTGGACCGCTGGAAACAAGGCTTGTCTCCATCCAAAATGACTTTGTCTTTTTCAAGGGCAGGTTCTCTCCTCTCCTCTCTTCCCCTTCCCAAGGTTGAAGAGAAATTTATTTGGACTTCTTAGCACAGTTTTCTACCCTCTAGTGCATGTCAGTGGAATAGCAGGAAATTTAGTTGTAATAGTTTTGAACTCTGGCTCTCTATAAAACAAGTTAGAGAATGAAAAGATTTATGAAGTTAGCTCTTATTTCCCTAAGCATAGAAGTGCTCTGCATCCCTCTCCTCTCTCTCCTTTCCATATGCCCTAGTGTTTTGTCCTTGTCTAGTCTTGAAGAGATCTGTTTACAGTTTCACCTACCTATAAAAATAAAATGAATATACAGTCTTCAACAAGTCATTTAACTTCTTGGGATCTCAGTTTCTTTGCCTGCAACATAAAGATGGTAAATTACAGGATTTCCAAGGTCCCTTAAACTCTTACATTCTATGATTATGACATTCAAGGAAGAGACAGAAAATATTTTAACTGTAATCATTTCTAGAGTACCTAACATGAGAAAAATACTTTTTCTTGATTTTACTAGGTAAGAGACTATGAGAACTCTACATTGGAATATACTACAAAAAATAATGTCACTTATGACCCCCCCACTTGTAAAAATTAGAACACACAGCTGTTTTAAAATGAATGAAGAATGAATTTGTTTTGGATGAATGAATTTGAGTGAATCTTTGGTTTAATGTAACAAGTATTGATTAAGCACCTGTTATGTTCAAGGCAATGGGCTAGGAGTTCTGGATATGGACACAAAAAGAAAACAATTCCTGCCCTCATGGAACTTACATTTACTAGGGGAATAAATATGACAGGTACATGTAGAAGTAAATGAAATATAATTGAAGAGGGAGTTTTTAATTAGTATTTTAATTAATATTTTTAGTAATTTAGTAAAATTAGTCATTTTAATTAGTATAGCAGAATAGTATTAATAACTGGGTTTTGGGGGAGTGTCTTGGAAAAAGTGGAATGTGGACTGAGCCTTGAGAGAAGGTAAGGCTTCTAAGAGGCCAGAGCAAAGAAGGAAAGCATTCTAGTTTTAGGGGATGTCTTTTGCAAATGTCTGGCAGCGCAGGATAGAATGCCAAGTTTGACTGTAGCATAGAGTATGTGAAGTAAGTAAGGTGAATTAAACCAGAACTTGACTATAGGGCCTTGATAGGTCGAGGAGTTTGTCTTTTATGCTAGTGGCAATAGGAAACCACTGAAGGGAGGGATGATCAAACCTGTACCTGAAGGATATTATTTTGGCAGCTCTGGAGGACTGATTGTTTAGAGACTAAGAGACCAGAGTGTTAGGGAGCCCAGGCAGGAGGTGGTATGGACTACTAAAATGGAGAGAAAGAAAATATATTCAAGAGATCTCAGGACATAGAATGAGGAGGATATGATTGGATCCAGAGAGGAAGGAAGCGACATGGAGGAGGGGGAAGGAAAGTTTATAAACTTAGGTGAATAAGAGTTTTGTGGTAACCTCAACAGGTAGAAGAAAGTTTGAAAGAGGGATGAGTTTAGGAAGAAAGATATTAAATTATCTTTTAGACATGTCAAGATGTCAAAAGTATATGGTGATAACCCACATTATTAACTGCCTATTGGACCGTATATGTGTGAGTAGAGAGAACAGGCAAAGAGAACATTCATCGGTGAAATGTCATAGTTTCTGTCATTTCCTATGGCTCTGTATAATTTTTTTAAACATTCACATACATATTTAACATATATAACACATGCATTTTGGTAAATTTGGGAATCATCTTCATAAAGATAACTCAATTCAGGAAAAGGACTTAGAAAAAGAAGAGGATTGGGAATATTCATGCTAAGGGTCTGGGAGAGATGGATCCTAAATAAATTAGCACTGGGGATGACTCATTGCTGTCTATTGGAGGTCTCTCTTCCTGCTAAAAGCAGAGCAAGTGATCAATTCTTTTTTAATGATTCATTATAAACAGTTATTGAATTCCAACTCAGTCAATTACACTTATTTTGCTTACATTTCAATACATGAAATTTCTTTTTTTTTTAAAGTGGGAGTAGAACATAAGTAGGAGAAGAACCTGACAAGAGGGTCAGGGAATCCAAGACAGGAGATGGTATTCTGGGGGAAGGAGTAGGAAATAGTGTCCAAAATTAAATACTGATGGTGACATTCTGTTAATTACTGGGAATACAAAGAAAATTGAAAACATGGCCTCTACCTTCAAGGAGCTCAAATTATAATGGGGAAGAAAGATTTCTTATTTTAGCTACCAAGGGTGACTGGATCAAATGAGAGTTTTTTAAAGATCAGAGAGACATGGGCACATTTGTAGATAGCAGGTAAGGAACCATAGATAGGGAAAGACTGAAGGTAGACTGGGGATGATGGTAAGGTCAATCTGATTTGTGGGGATGATATCAGAGGTTCACATAGAGGGGTTTGTGTAGGTCAGATGAAGGGCCACCTCTTCATAAGAGGTAAAGGTGATGGAGGGAAATAATGGGGAGATGTCTTGAGCAGTTTGAGATGAGGAGAGGAGAAAGGGATGTTCTCAGCAAATAGCTTTAATTTGGTGAAGTGTGAAGTGAGATTCTCAGCTGAGAGGGTGAAGAGAGGACTCAGGGGTGGGATGCTTGAGGGGGTAGGGGTCAAAAAGGTTTGGAATATCAATGATGAGTAGGATAGTAAATCAACTTGGGTGGTAAATGGAGAGATGTCCTTGTTCCAGTGAAGGCTCATTTGAGATTATATTATATAAATTTGTGATGGATCCAGTCAGCACAGTTCAGTGATTTTCCCCCCAGCTCTGTTTAGCTGCAGGAGGGAAGGGGGAAGATGTTGGGAATAATCCAGAGTTGGAGTTTGACAAAACATGATCAGTGATAGGATATAAGTCTTGCTTTCTTAATATTTTGGGTGAGGAGGACAATTTAAAAGTAAAAAAAAAAGTGCCACGTATCTAAAATAGCAAAACTCAAAAACAAAACAAGAATGCTTCCTCCTATGTGAATTTATAAGATTCAAGAAGAGTGCAGTTTTGTGGGGGGTTTTGTGTCACTAATTAATTTGTTCATTATTAAAACTGGGAATGTTCAGAGGAAAAGGATCATTAATATTCTTCACAACTTACCTTTGGTACAACTTTTATGTTGTATATGAATACAAATTTCTCTCATGTGAAATATTTCACTGGTGCTTTTCCTGGATTTAAAGGTTGTTAAAGAAGATGTAATTGCATCCCAGGGAACGACTTGAGAGCTGTCTGTCCTAGACTGTCTGACCCTGATAACTTATTCCTTGTAGTTTTAAATCTTCTTGTATGAAGGCTGTTAAAAAAAAAATGATAAATTTAAATACTGCTAATCTTCCCAAGTGCTGGGCTTTTACAGAAGAATTCTATAGAGTGGTTGGATTGTCATCTGACAATATCATTAGCTGTCAATAATGACTAAAAACATGAAATGAATGTTAGCATTTTAAGGCAATTTTTCATTAATACAACACTATAAATTTTTATGATCAAGAAGGGTAGAATTGTTGGTCAAGCAGCTCATTTATTTTTAGTCCATAATTTGAATTCATTGTATTTTTCAACAGAATTTACCTTTTTTTTCTGTTAGTAAGAATATATACAGCAGATCACTTAGGCGCTGTAACAAAAACAATATTCTTCCCTTAAGTGGCCTGGGATCTACTAAATAAAAGTTTCAATATATTCATGTCCACTTGTTAATAAGCTTTGGCATTTAGTTTATGGTAGTTCAAAGCATGACATCAAATCTGGGAATAGGTTATTTATTTTTTATTGCTTCTTTCCTCTTTTGTTCTCAAACTATTCTATGTTACTATACAGAATCTCCATTCTAACTTGTTTTAAATTGTTCAAGGTTTCCTTGCTGCTTTACCTTGACCATATAACAAAGTGCTGCTTTAAGATGTCACCACTTGAATAAATCATGTTAAATTTTTAAATGTTAATCATGTTAAATAAAAATAAATCATGTTAAATCTTTAAAATATTAAAAGACTGCCCAACTGATTTTTCCTCACCTCCTGCTCCATGAACTAAAATCATAATAGCCTTGGAAGAAGCTAAATACTCTGCCACCAGTTTTCCATCTCTTTGTAGCTTGGGTCTTGTATTGATCCAGTGATAGTCTCTCCCAATAGAATGTAAGATTCTTGAGGTCAAAGGTTATTTTTGTTTTATCCTTATATCCTTGACACCTAGAATAGTGCATTATAGTACATGATATATATTTTTTAATAAATTTAGGTTGAATTGGATCGAAGAGCCTTGGAGACTCCAAATAGTGCTTTGCCCCCTGAAGAGTCCATAGCCCTAGTTTGTTAAATAATGTACATGAGATTATTTCCATGATTTGCTTCATAAATCAGAAATTCCATATGTTTGGATAAATTACTTTTAGAATTTAGTGCTCAGCACAGTGCCTGGCACGTGGTAGGCACTTAATAAATGCTGATTAATTCTTTAAATACATTTGTCTCTTATCAACATATAGTTTATTATAATTGGTTCTTACTGTTGGTTGGTGAGGCTTGTTGTTTCTTCTCAACTACAGTAGCCAGTGTGTGGTGGCAGGTTCCTGAAGTCCTCCCATTCTTACCTTAGCTTCCTCCATGTCTAGATATTCTGCCTGGTACAGAAAAGATACGATCTCAATAGTGGTGCCAACTTGTAGTACTTTCTTTTTGTGAGTTGTGGCCTCTTAGATACAGCAGTTGGCACAGAGCTTTTAGACAGACAGACACTGTCATCATGTTTTCCATCACCCCTCAGACTATTGCAGAAGAAGGGAAGGAAATGTAGCAAAAATAGTCAACAGGAAAGAGAACCTAAATGTAGTTACATGGGTAGAAGTGTTGGTCAATCCTTGCCATAAAAATGGATCTTGGATGTCCCAGGGTTTTGAGCAGACTTTGGTACAAGGGATTATTATATTATCATGTCTTGCATTGCTTGTATCAGGGAATAGTGTACCTGTATTGCTCTGCTAGTGTATCTCATTCTTTCTCTGGTGACATACAGTAAAATGATCATAATTAATTTCAATTAGCTAACTTTGGCTGTTTTTTTGTCTCATTTCCCTTAAATTTGCTTCAAAATCTGTCTGATTTTTGAAAATGCTATTGCTGTCAAACAAAGAGAGAAACTGTGTACTATTCTGCCGAACATTTTATGGTAAAAAATGAAAGATAAAAAAAGAGATCTGATCTTTCATTCCATTACTTAGTGGCTATGAATAGTTGTAAATAATTGAGATCTTTGCATCCTGATCTAATGTTGGACTGGACCTTGAAGAGTCTACCATCTTGCCTTTAGGCAGAATTACACCATCAGGAGTAGGTGGGAATCTGCTGGTTCCCTTGAGAAGATTCCACAGTCCTCTTCAGTAAATCATTCTAATGTTTAACAACCTTCAGTGTCAGGAAATTATTTATGGATAACAACCTACATTCCTCATGCTGCTGTTTAAGCCTGTTTCTTCTTGTTCTGTCCTCAGTGGAGGAACAGAACAGCTGGTTACCATCCACTCCATAAGAGACAGTCATAGAGCTGGAAAGTGTTATTAAGTTTCTCCTTCTGCCCTTCTTTTCCCTCTTGTATCTTTGGCTAAACAGCCCATTTCTTGAAGCTTTGTTCATAGGTATTCTTTCTAACCTTTTAACTGTCTTTGTTCCATTATAGTTTTCTTTAATTTGTGGAGAACCAAACCAGCAAAAGCTTGATCAGCCTCAAAAATGAAGAAATAAATATACTGCCGCACTTTGAGTAGCACTGATTTCTGGTCTAAGGGGCAGGGTGCTACTGTAGGGGGCCCATGTCCATCAACTATTGTCTTTTGGTCTGTCTTTTTATTAAACAAAATCTAGTAGAGCTGGTATTTGCTACCTGCAGGCTAAAGTGTAAAATAATGGTTTTATTATTTCATACATGTTTGTAGTAGTTAAAAAGTAAAATACGTGTGTTTTACTCTTTTGTAGATTATATAGTTATTATTGATAAAATGCAAATTCATTTAAAAGTATTACAGAATTCATAGTTGCTTTTAGGTAAAAAATAAAATAAAACCCACCAAAAAAACTATTGAAAAATTACAAGATAAAAGATACATAACATCATAAAAATATAGATTTAGAGCTGAGAAGGAAACTTGGAGGCCATTGAATTCAACACCCTCATTATACAGATAAAGAAAGTGAGACACAGAGAGTAAATGACATGCCAAGGTCACACATTTATTAAGTATTTGAGGCAGGATTTGAATATAGGTCTTTTTTACTCCTGAGTCCAGTGCACTGTTGAGTATACTGTGCGCATTAGTTTGTATAAAAATGAAGTAGATAGTTTAAATAACTATATGCTTAACATAAGTCTAGATCAGGGTGGGGAACCTGTGCCCTCTAGGCCACATGTAACCCTTTAGGTCCTCAAGTGTGGCTCTTTGACTGAGTCCAAGTTTTACAGAACAAAGCCTTTTATTAAGCAGATTTGTGCTGTGAAGTTTGGATTCAGTCAAAGGGCTGCACTTAAGGACCAGAGGGCCACATGTGGCCTTGAGGACACAGGTTACCCAACCTTGGTCTAGAGTATGAAGTATATGCCCCAAATGTTAACATATTAATAGAAATTTAGTGCCCAGAACCAGGAGATGATAGCTTCCCTGTAAATATTACTTTAACTCTAGGTATCACATTTTAAGAAGGTTGTTATTAAGAAGTTAGCATGGTGTCAGAAGGTACTATTTGGGGTGGTCAAGGGTCTAGAAGACATGTTGTATTTGTTTTTTGTTTGAATTTATTTTATTTTGAAATCTTTTTGTATCAGTTCTTAATTTAAAACAACTTGAGTGATCAGATCCAGGCCTAAGCACTGTAATTTTTTCAAAAGTACATGGATTATCCATTGGTTTTGAATTATTTTCATTTTCAAATAAATCTCCGTGTCCTCCACTATCCACAGATTTTTAACAAAATTATTTTTAACAAAAAATAATAAAAATTTCAATAAAATTAACCAGTACATCAATGGAATCTGACGATAATATGTTCATGTTGTACGTTCATAGGGAGTCCTGCTCCTCTCTGCAAAGGAGAGGTTGAAGGGATAGGAATAAACATCTATTAAGTATAAAATCTTCATGAAAATCCTGGGAGGTAGGTGCTATTATTATCATCCCCATTTTACAGTTATAGAAACTGAGGCACATAGGTTAAGGGACTTGTGCAGGTTAAGACACTAGTTAAGTGTCTTATGTCATATTTGAACTCAGGTCTTCCTGATTCCAAACCCAGCATACTCTCCACTTTTGCTAGCTAACTGCCTCTGGAAAGAAGAGGAATTTTTTCTCCTCTACTTATACAATACTTACTATCATTTTTGTCATTTTCATTGACATTGTTTTATTCATTGTGCATATTATTTTCCTGGTTCTGCTTACTGCACTGTACATCAGTTCATATGAATTCTTCACATTCATCATTTGTTATGGTTCAGTGATATTCCGTTATGCTTACATACTACAGTTTGTTTTGCCATCCCCCATTAGGTGGCATAGTGGATAGAGCTCTGGCCCTGGAATCAGGAAGACCTGAGTTCACAAGTAGCCTCAGACACTTAACTAGTTGTGTGACCCTGCACAAATCCCTTAACCCCTGTCTGCCTCAGTTTCTACAACTGTACATTGGGGATAATAATAGCATCTACCTCCTAGGGTTGTTATGGGGCTCTCAAATTAGATGATTTTTATGGAAAATTCATATATAAAAAGCTCTTTTGGTATATGTAGGAGCTTTCTAATTTTGACACCTTTGGGGAATATGCAACATAGTTGAAGGAACAAAGGATGCCCTTAACCTAATGAAAAAAACCAAACAAACATGGGTGCTTCAAAGTTGGTTTTAAATATTGAACTATCTTGCAAAAGAAGGATTCGATTTGTTAGATGTATATTGAGAAGAAAGAATAAGACATGGTTTTGGAAGTTAGAGGCAAACATTTCAGTTTGGTATAGGAGGTTGCATTGGCTGACAGGTCCATCTCAGTACTTGTCACTTTAGTGTGATGCAGCACCCCCACTATCACTGGGGAGGACAAAGGGACTGCTCAGGTTTTTTTGTATCATACCAAAGTGACAAGGCTGTTCAGAGCTGAGTCACCTGGCAACAACCTCGAGCTTCCTCATCCCCCCAATAGACCCAAACAATGAGTTATGAATCACCTGGTATCTCCAGAGGTTTTGAGGGAATTCCAGCTGCACACTCCATGGAATGGCTCCTATAGGTCATTCCAAGCTTGGCTACATAGGGAAGAACTTTCTGATGATTCAGAGTTTTAAAAAATTGAATGTTCTAAATTTTCCCTGCCATTCTTTCCCTCCCTCCAAATTCTGTAGTAGTGGCCTACCTTGGAGATAAAAAAAGCAACCTGAGCGCTTTATGATATGAGCATCTGGCTCAGTTTTATATATCATCAAACCTGTATGGCCACTTACTGAGAGAGCTAGCACACATTGAAAGACCTAGACTTATTTGTTCATTTTTTCCAGACACCATAAACTTAACATAAAACACCCACAAGAACATGAACATGCCCTCTCATCATCCTTTTTGTTCCTCATCCCCTTTTTTTTTTTTGTTTCAGCCCTGGACAAATCCAGTTTTTGTGAAGGGTCAAATTTATTTTTAAAAAAAAAGTTTCCAATTAATTAGTGGGCTCTGGCTATCTATGATTCTTAAGATTAAGCCTCCCTGTAAACAGGTGGGGAATGCAAACACTGTGGGTAAACTTCTAGTTTATCTCTTGCCTCTGGTTCTGCCTGCTTTCTACTCAAGATTCCAACCCACAGTCCCACTCCTGAGAGTTTATATACCTAATCTCCTTTCAATCCTAATAATCCCCTTATTTGTTTAAGAGTGTTTATCCCATCCTAAGAGAATGGGCTGTCTTTTTAGGTAGTAAATTCCTTGTCCCTGGAAGTATTCAAGCAGAGAGGCTGTAAGGCATGATGGAATTCTCATGTTATATGGGAAGTTGGGTTAGTTTCTAAGGACTTAGATTTTTTTTAAAAAAAATTATTGATTTTTCCACCAAAAGTAGGTAATATAATGCTTTGAATAGAATAAGTGTTAAATATTTATTAGCTGGAACTTGATGTTATTTTGTTGTTGTTGTTCAGTTATTTCAGTTGTGTCTGACTCTTAGGACACCATTTGCAGTTTTCTTGGCAAAGGTACTGGAGTGGTTTGCCATTTCCTTCTCCAACTCATTTTACAGATGAGGAACTGAGTCAGATAGGGTTAAGTGACTTGCCCAGGGTTACACAGCTAGTAGATGTCTGAGGCCAAATTTGAATTGAGGAAGGTGAGTCTTTCTGACTCCAAGCCTGGCACTCTATCTACTTTACCACCTAGCTGCTGTATTGATATTATTACCATTTTGGGTAAAAATGGTAAAAAAAATTATTTAATTTAGCATTATTACCATTTTGTATAAAGAAAAACTAAAATTAAATGGCCCTTTTATATTGTGTTGCTGTTTTGTCAGCAACCATCAGTGAATCCCAGCATACTACAAAAGTGTGCATAGTTGCGTCCTAGATATCTCATTCTTGTGTTATTCAAATTTGAGTAGCTC